GGCTTACGATTAGTAAAAACTTACTTGTAGAATCTTGTTTGTTCAATTGCCGAATTTATTAGTGTCGTGCAAGTAAAGCACGTATAATTTACAATGTGAAATTAAATTACAACGATAATTAATTCAAGTGTACGAGAGAAACCACATCTTTTTGCTTTGAAATATGAAAGTGTACCGCATGCATTCGTGAGATGTTGCCGAACTGATTGTGATTGAGGCAAAGAAGAAAAATTCCAAATTAAAACCGCGGCACGAATTGCAAAGTTCAAAGGAAAAGGGAAAAAGGGGGACAAAGATGAGCAGAGAACCGTAGGAAAGGGGTAGGGCGAGGAGCAACAATCGCGGTGAAAACGTCACGTGCTGTCGCATCGAGGGTGATGCGAGCGACCACCACTCAGCCGATACTCCCCTCGGACAGTAAAGCTGTAACGAGCCGAGGAAGAGCAAAGGAGGAGGTCGAGTGACCGACTTCTTCCTCCTTTCTTCGATACGACACGCTTATCCGACCGTCCGGTTTTCTCGGTCACGGCTCGACGATGGGGGGAAACAACACGCAGGACGAAGCACGCTCGTTCCTACATTACCCCCACGTGAGGCCAGGCCAGGCATCGGGCCACGATTCTTCTTCTTCTTCTTCTTCTTCTTCTTCTCTTTCGGCCGGTCTCTCCTTCCACCTGATGAAGACGAGGACCGTACGCGTTCCGCGGCGGCTGTAGCCAGAGGTCGGCGCGCTTCCACGAGCGTACAATTTTTCGTCCTCGCGGTGAAACACGCTGCGTTCAGACGATCGTTGTTCCGCGGACGTCGATGAGGAGTACGAGATCGAGCAACGGTCGATTAATTGTAATTTCGGTTTAACGTTCCTCTGTCAAATTATCGTCGGAAGACGTTTGTTCTTTTTTTTTTTTTTTTTTTTTCATCGAAGTACTGCAAGGTGAATGATTGACCATTAACGAACGAGAGACAGTGATTTGTTTCGTTTATTGATTGATTATTATCGTTGTTATTGCCAGTATTGAAAGTTTTGAGATTATTGGGAAGTTTGGGACTTTTCAGGAGATTTTTGAATATTTTATATTGAAGAGGAGAGTTGGAATAGTTGGTGGTGATAGTGATTGTGGTTTCGTGCGTTGATGTGACAACACTTTGATGAGAGATCACATGAGGGTACAATGATGGCTCGAGGATTGTTCTTTATCGCGGTGGTAAGAAATTGAAACTTTTGATTTTATGTTATTCGCTCGATGAGAGATTTGGTATTTCATTTTGAATTCTACTATCGAGAATTTGCCAAATTTTTAGCTAGTAACCGTTATTTCTTTCTCATCTCATGGACGATCCTGATATTTTAATTACGTGAGACATTATGAAAATCATTTAAGAAGATACAATTTAATTTAAAATATTCGGGCGAAATTAATTATTCGCGTTGTCATTTACTACTTGCTTGTGATCGAGTCATTCGGAAATTAACGAAACTGAGCATCGTAAAAATTTCTCGATTGATCGCTCTGTAGATAAAACAGAATTCCTGCGTCCGTTCCTTCATTTTTCTCTTTCGTCCAAATTTCCAAACTTCAACAGAGATAAGAGAAAAAGGACACGCGCGTAGCTACCCTGCAACCATGCTCGTGTCGATCAACGACACGTGCAACTTGAATTCGTGCGAAATTACCTCTCAGACAAGAGAGCAATTATTCGCGTTATCTGCATGCTAATTAATAATTACCAGAAACCAACCTCCGACATAATTGCTCTCGATTGATATCTGTACAAAAAAAAAAAAAAAAAAAAAAAAAAAAAAACAACCCAAGACATCTCGTTAATTAACTTCTGACGGTGAAACACGAAACGTCGCCTCGCACACGTGATCCGCAACATGTTCGATCAAACATCTTCGAGATCACAGACAGGAAGTAGAACGAAATCGTCGTGTTTTCGTGGAGAGAAGATGAGTAGTTCTCTGGTGTGTGTGTGTATGAGTCTGGCTGGTAAAGTGGAACAACCTTTGCGTGTCCTTGATCCGGTAACCTGGCGGAACCAGGAAAAGTAAATAGATTCCCTTAATTGCCGCGAGTTCCCTCTCGCGTGTTGGCAAGTGAAAGATTTATCGGCGATTGGAAGTATGAGATCGCTGGCTGAACACCTGCCAGAACGTGCAATTGCCCGCGTGATTTTTGCCAGGCAACCGAGGCAATTGTTCGCTCGTCTTATCGTATTTCGTCGATCGGCACGCTCGTTCCTTCATTTTCTCCTCTGTTAGAATCCTGAGAATTAGGTTGTTCGATAGACAGTTTACGCGCGCGTGCTTCGTCATTAGTTCCTGTTCGATTCAGATCGGTCAAATCAGCCTGTGATGGTGATTCTGCGATCTTTACGTGATTTTTCGGCGTTTATTTATAGATTATTATTAGCTGCTTCCACAATAGTTATTATTAATTGGCCATTAATAATGTTTAAAGAAATTATAGATCATTATTATTAGTGATTAGTTATATTATTTGGTCATTTCGTACAATCTGTAATTCGTAAATAATGTTAATATACATGTTTGAGTTAATAAGAGCTATGTGTATCGTTGTTTAATCATAAAAAATTAATGAGAGTAAATTTCTCGAAGAAGTGAGATTGTAAAGGAAAATTTGGGGTGAGAAGCATTTAAAATTATTTAAATTTTCTCCTTTCTACGGTGTCTCTAATTGTATTTAATTGTCGAACAGTCTTTAATTTTAGTTAAATCGAGTCTTCTGAGTGGTTAATCGATTTGCTTCTCTTCGAAGTTACGAGTAGCTCCTTCGAACCAAAGTTAAAATTACACGTTAAATTTCACCGGTGAGTCGACTCGATCGGACAATTTTGACTTGTAATTTACAACAGGCACGTATCTTCTTAGCACCGATAAGCACTCAGTGAAAGTTCTCGATGATAATCTAAGGTCTCCACGAAAGTTTTGTACCTTGAAGATATTAAACCGCGTTGATATTCGTAACGAGAGAAAAAAAGAAAAAAGAAGAAAGGAAGGCACCTCTTGCTCGAGGGAGACGTTACAAGAGCAAAGTGTTGCACATCGGTAGAAAGCTTGTCGTATTGTTGCATTCATGCGAAAAGTATTAACATTTCGACGACAAAACATTTAAACTGGCTGCTTCGAAATTTACGGCTCGTTAAAACGTAGTATTCGAAAGTTTTTACGAATTTACACTTTCACGAATACAAGCAAAGAAATAGGACCAAGGTGGGAATTTATTTTGTTTTTATTTTTTAGTGTAACAAGTACTTTTAAATATTTTGTATATTTCTGCAGATTAACTTCAATTTCCTAATACACGATTAATTTGAATTTCATACGTGAATATTTGTAGTTATTTGATTACAGTGATTACTGTACTGATGTTAGTCGAATGATCAGTTTCAAGGAATCAAATTGATGATGCGTACATCGTAAAAAAACATGAGAATCGTGTACATTAAAGACATACATATATTTTTTATAGAGAAAAATAAACAAGTTATTCCTTAATAAGATAGAGCAACAACATTGCCCCAACGATTTTCTAAGAAAATACAAAAGAATACCAAGCGTTTCATTTTGTAAACGTGTTCATTTGCCACACGTATTGCGTTTAACATGCCACGACGTCATGAAGGATCACGACGAAGTAAAAGGAGAGATCGCCGGCGATCGATACTGATCGAGAAACAAACGCCAGGAAACGTTACAACGTGTCTCAAATAAACGATCGTTACAACGAGCGTTACAAAATATCCTGAAGAAAAAAAAAAAAAAATCGCACGCGATTGGCCAAGAATCGATGAACACTCGCTGATACGAGAAGAAGAAGAAGAAGAAGAAAAAAAAGGATCACTCAGTGAAATCGTAGAGCTCTTCTTTCTTGGTGAGCATCATGGTTACTAGGTCAGCGCCGATTGCAAACGAAAGAGGATATGTTGGAATTTCCACGTTTATGGTTATTTCACGTGGCATAATATGATGTCTAAGTGGCTGCACGTGTTGTTACATCGGACAACGCTTCCTGCAACACGGCACGCATTAACACTTCGTGTTTCGCGTTTCTCTCTTATCTGGCCGTGGCCAGGAAATCTCGAACACAATTGTGATCGGTGTAAGAACCGCATACGGACAAGAGAAACGACGTCCCGCAACAGCGGAACAATGGGAGTAATAATTTATGAAAACGGTAATAACACGATAACAGTGTTGTAACCGATAACGCTGGTGGAAACGGAGATACGAAGTTCAAAGACATCGTTCGGACCGCGAGACAGTGTGACGCCTTTGGCCACGCTCGGCTCAACTCCCAGATAGATCACAGTGTGTAGTTGCCTGCAGCGAATTTCTGTGAGTCCACTCTCGCGATAGGACTTGACTTCATTTAGATCGAGAAAAATCCTATACAGATGGTTTTAATAATTGTGGAGTGGAGTGACTATTGATACTTTACAACGATTCCGGTTAAACTCAGTGGTTGAGTAGTATGAGATGTGTTGGAATGAATTTAGTAGATAATTTGAATTTAGTAGATGTAATCGATTTTTTTTTGTGTACAGAAGGATGGAATTTACATAGATCCAAAATGGATTTGTTATATACATTCTCACGTAAGTCGACAAAATATATACAATTTTTTTTATCGATCAATTCAAGGATTGAACCAACAAGCTACACGTTACATCTAAGTTGCTTTATTTGAGCATTTTGTCATCAGCGGACGATCATCAAATTCTCAGAAATCATCGGATACAATTCCACTCAAACTAAATCTGAGATCCACGTGCCCTACGATAAGCAAACTAACGACTAACCTACTAGAACAGACAAGATCGTGACGCCTCGATATCGCAAAGAAATTCATATTTTAGAAAGTACCCTTCTGCCCGAGATCCTGCAACGGCGTGAAAGTTACACAACCAGATTCATTCGGATTGAAACAGAGAAACCAGGTAAACGGCTGGATAAATGAAACTCGTTATCTCGTCATCGATCGTGCGAGATCCACGATTTCATTAGCCGGCCGCGAAGGTTAGAACGTTAGAAACGAATGGAAACTTTCCTTCGTTCCTCCATGCCGTAGGAAAATCCGTGCACGCGGCTGCACACGCGAGCAGTTCCGTTTTGCTCGGAACTAATCACGGATTGGAAACAGCTCGTGACTTTCACCGGTGCACGCGAGTCGCGTCTGTGCGCGAGTGTGCGCGCGTTTTTCTTTAATCGTTTCTCAACGTCGGCGTTTCTGATAGATCACGTGATTTCACCGAGGCGACACGTGGCCCGTGATCGTTAAATCCGCTCGGCGAAGCTTCCACGACGATTTCACGACGTTACGCACTTTATAACGCCACTTCCGCCGCGAGCATAAACGAAATTAACGTTTCTCCGTGGCTCGCGCTTCCACCGGTGCGTCAAAGGAGATCTCTTCCGTGATAGTCGGACGCACCGCTCGCGAGTACGTTTCCCCTACGCGATCAATTCCCGCCGGGTTATAATAGAAGAATCGCGCTATTGTGTCTGTCGGGAAATTCTATATGTTGTTACGATTCCAAGAGGGAAAGGATTTTGTTTGGAATAAAAAGATCGCCCGGCTAGATAAATTGTGTTGTATCAGCGAGAAACGGGGGAAAAAAGGAAGGAATGATAGTGAGTAAATTCAACGAAAAATATAAAACTAAGAAAAATTATACAGTTATTCGCACTACGTTCCGGAATCTGAATTTATCTTGAAAAAATTAAAAAAGAAACATAACAGAAATCTTTAATTATTATTTAACGTTCATTTCAAGAATATCCATCTGTTGGAATAGATTCAATCCCTATTTAAAATATTGTAATCCACATTCACTCAAAATTCTATCTTCATCTAAGAAATTCCCCTTTCAAAACTTTCATTTTGTTTGGGTCTACATTTTTTTTTTTTTTTTTTTTTTTTTGTAAATTTTGACCAATAAATGAATCACGTGCTTTAGAATTTATGATCAAATACATTGCTGTGCAATGCTACTTTACTACATGTTTGTACAATTGCTGACTGAATCCACGTTAGTAATAACAGCACGAAGTATCACTGTGCAATGTTACAAAGGTACAATAATCACAGTCGATTGTCACGGAAATTGCATTTAAAAAAAAAAAGAGAAAAAAAGTTAAGACACTCCAGAAAGTGATATTTTTCAGAAAAAAAAAGAAAGAAAATAAATTAAGGAAGTCTCGACACTCCGCAAAGTAATATTTTTCAGAAAAAAAAAAAGAGGAAAAATCAAAAAAGCCTCGGCACTCGAGAAAGTAATATTTTTCAGAGAAAAAAAAAAAAAAAAGAAAATTCCAAATTTCGTTTTGATTGATCCCCACGTTTACGAGACTGAAAATCGTGTAAAAAAAATTCTACTCTTTGGCGAGAAAGAACGGATTCTCGGAATATGCTGAACAAACAGCGGAATAGTGGAAAAATTAAAGGAGAAGGGAGAGAGAGAGACGAGCAAAGAGAGCGTGCAAATCCTTTAATTCCGCGGGTAAATGTCGATAACGCGATGAAAGCCCCGATCGGAAGGAATTCGACGATATTTCGTGGATTATTGAAATGAATCCGACCGGGGGATCCCTACCCGATTTTCCCAGCGGATTTGATTCACGCTGAACGCGTTCGTAATGGCGTGAAGTCGATCCAACCTCCATCGCGAAATGATTCTCAATTTCAGCTACATCGTTCCGATAAAGACGATGAAACAACTCCATTATACTCGCTAGTTTGTTCTTTCACGGGTTACAAATTGATTTCTAATAAAATTGAAGTTGAATCTATCGGACGTCTTGTAGATTTCCTATTGTTAAAAAAAATAATCATTCACATTTTCATGTTATTGAAAGATATTAATTTCATTGCTTCGTGATTCAGTTTCGGACAAAAAGTGGGTGTTTCCTACGTTTCTAAAAATTTAAATCTGTCGAACGAAATTGTTTCATTCAGTGTTATTTAAAATTCGTCCAATAATATTTAATTTCATTATTAGAGAAATTTCTGATTAACGAACGAGTTAATTAACAAGTTTTAATAGAATATAACCGAGGAGATCAAATTTAGCCTTCGATTCTACTCTAAACTTTTAGTTTATAAAATGATTTTATAACTACTTTAGAACTAGGGAATAAAAACTATATGATCGAAAAATATTATTTCATTTTAACTGAAACAACCGGTCTTCAATACGTATCAGAATATTCCACATATAAATTATTGTAATCTAAATGATAATAATTGAAAGAAATAGGCTTATGTTTAAATAGAATCCGTATCTTTTAATTCTAAAAAAAAAGAAAATCCAAGACTCGTCTTGTTAATAGGTTTAGTTCAAATTTCAAATGAATCTTCTAATTTTATGTTAAATTAGACACCAAAAACACAAAGCATCGGAAATGGACGTGTTTCTCAACATTAAAAAGCATAGAATATTTGAACATCTGCAGAATCTTGCGAAAGACAAAGTGTTTCCTAACAATTATGATTGATACGTTCAAAATATGTAAATATAAAATCGAAATATTTCCATTGAGAAATATTTTTCAGTGCCTGTGAGAATATTTTCTAGTACGAAATATATCTTTCACTTTTAATCTTTGGAGAATTGACAACTATTCTTTTTAGAGATCTATATTATATATATATATAATATAATTATAGATTATATATATTAAAAAATTATTATTAAAATTAAATATGTATATGCATAAATTATAAAATTAATTAATTATCTATATTAATTATAATTATATATAATTTATTTATAATTTATAATATTATATTTATTATATATTATAATTATATATATAATTGTAATTAATTATATATATTGTATATAAATACATACAATATATACACAAATTTAAAACAAATACAAACAATATATATACAAATTTAAAACAAATACATACAATATATACACAAACTTAAAATAAATACATACAATATGTACAACTTTAAAAATACACAAATTTAAAAAAAGAACATTTATCATTTAACGAAAAAAAATGTCTATTTAACAAAGATTAAACACCAAGATGCGAAAACATCCCTCTGCACGAAACATCTCAATCGCCAGATTTCACAGAACCTTGAAGATCGATAAAACCTGCGAGCGAAATTTCTCCGAGTTGCGTCCTCGATCAATCAACGAAATTCCCCGACGCGCGCGAATGAAAGTAATCCCTGTCGTCAGTGTCGAACGAAAAGACACGACGACGACAACGCCACGTGAAAAGCCGTCGTCGAGCGGCCAAGAATCGAGAGAGAGAGAGAGAGAGAGAGAGAGAGAGAGAGAGAGAGAGAGAGTCGGTCTCTCGATACAATTCGAAGGGAAACGCGCGGCGGACGCGGGGAATCTCAACGCTGAGATCTCAAGTCCCAAGCTTTTGTACGATCGTTGAAAGCTCGCGGCTAAGAGAGATCGCACTCGCACGCGCGACGGAAACTCAGCGACGCTCGCGGTTGCATTATGAAGGGAGGTTTGCAACATTCATCCCGCCGAGCTCGAGCTCTCCCAGCGTTTTCACGGTGAAACGTGTGTCCTTGGCTGCGCACATACACACGTTTTGAATTGAATCTACTTTCTCGAATAATTCAGAAGCCTGAACGACGAATGGTTATCGGCGGATGAACTGGATCCGGGGCTAATCGAGTGTTGATTCTCATTGCGATTGTGCGGGCAGAGGCGAATGGCGAGCCGTTCTTGGAGAGTGGAAGCGAGAGAAATGCTGTTCTCAACACGTCGATTCGGTTCAGAACTACGTTACTTTTAGGGGTCCGGTGGATAATTCAACTCCGCGCGAACGGTGGTTTTACGTCCTATCGATTCACGGATTGATCGTTTTCACCAGATGAGAATATCGTAACTGAAAGTTTCAATTCTGACTTAAATCATATCGATATGGTAGAATCTTCGTTTATATAGGGGTTGATCGGGGGATAGATAGTTTGTACAGTTATAGCTTGTACTACTGAATTTTCTAGCAATAATTTTTCGTTCTTATATTGTAGTAGAAGTTCAGATACAAATAAATGAATTTTAGTGCCGATACATACTGTATATTCAGTATACTGTATTTTCGATAGTTTATTATATTATATTGTATTATACTGTATTGTATTATATTATATTGTATGATACTGTATTGTATTATACTCTATTGTATTATACTGTATTGTATTATACTCTATTGTATTATATTGTATTGTATTATGCTGTATTGTATTATACTGTATTGTATTATACTGTATTGTATTATACTGTATTGTATTATACTGTATTGTATTATACTCTATTGTATTATACTGTATTGTATTATACTCTATTGTAGTATACTCTATTGTATTATACTCTATTGTATTATACTCTATTGTATTATACTGTATTGTATTATACTCTATTGTATTATACTGTATTGTATTATACTCTATTGTATTATACTCTATTGTATTATACTGTATTGTATTATACTCTATTGTATTATACTCTATTGTATTATATTGTATTGTATTATACTCTATTATATTACATTGTATTATATTATATTATATTATATTATGTTATATTACATTATATTATATTACATTATATTATATTATATTATATTATATTATATTATATTATATTATATTATATTATATTATATTATATTATATTATATTATANAAATTAATCAACATGTTATTACAGTTTTATAATAATAAGCATATATGATATGTTAATATTGTTCATTTTTTTTTTTTTTTTTTTTTTTTTGGAAACTTTCATTCTGCATTCGATCATTCAAATGTCACGGACTTGTAGAAAGTACCAGTTTGCATAATGAAAATATGATGAATAGTTCAAGGAAATATGCAGATGAGAATAAAGTCTCAATGTGCCTTGGTATAATTCTCGTTCACCCACAATACTATTTTTGGTAGTAATAATACGTTTATGCGAATATATAGGATTCATTTCACTCTCTAGGTAGTTGTGCTACTGTCCTCGATCGACGTCAACGCCGAGAAGGATTCGAAAGACGACGTGGACCTCAACGAACGTAAGGAAAGCAACGAGACGACCGTCGTCACATCTATTAAGATCAACGACGACTCGTTTAGAAACAGAACGAATAAAATATGGGAGAACGTGAGTGAAGGAAGTTTTTATTTCCTTAAATATCGCTGCGTTGGTCGAAATAACTGCAATTAACTTAAATTAAATTTAATCGTCAATGTGCTTCCATCGAATTATTATTAATAGCAATTATTATTTTGGCTTTCAGCAATTGGGAAAAATTCGTGCGCTATTGAATAATGGAAGTCGACAGAACGTCAGCAGGGAACTTATGCTACCTAAAAGCGTGGACATCGCGAAAGTTATATCCGACGATGCCACTGGCGATGAGGAAGGGTTGGAAGAATTGCCCGAGGCAAGTGTCAAGAAATTCATTATGTTTCTCACTGTCAAATTCTTAATTTCAAGTACAAGAATATTTTAACGTAACCTCAGCAAAATATTTTGACGTCATCTCGAGGTCAAAGAAATGACAGCATAATATATAATTTTTAGTGGTGTCTTATCTTTGAGTATTTTGAGTTCTCATTTAAAATAAACACACTGTAGAAAGTAACTTGTTCCGTCATCCTATAAATTTTCAATAATAAACGTCGATTTAACTTTAATTACTTTTACGATGCTGAATGAACGTTAAAGGAAGCAACTTTTCTGAATCGTTTTGCAGCAAATATGTTCTGCGGCCGATATTACTGTGATTGAACGAAAGATTAACGACCCTCGTTACGGGGAACACTCTTAGAAAGTTACGGTCGGAGCTCCTTTCTATCGTAAATCACATCGAAATCGACAATTTTGTCACATACGAGCGCAACTCTGTATAATTATTTTCGGACGTCAACTTTCTGTTTGTAACGTTGCGATTAAATATCTGTTGAAGTTTATTATTCCCTGAATTATACATTTTCCCTTCTCAAACATTCCACGATTACAAAGAACTTGTAAATCTTTGTGGAAGTTCTCTATGAATTTTCAGAAATTAGATCACAAAAATGAAACGACTAGAAGTTCTAGAGGTCACTTCTAATTTCATTTCAAAGGAACATTCACGAATTTATTACAAACGATAATTAAATGTCTAGAAATTCGGGAAACTTGTGATTGAAACAAAATTTTTCGAAATTCGGCGATTTGGGGGAAAAGATTAAAACAACGAATTGTCGATCCTTTCGAGTTCTTTAAAAAGCTTTCGTCCGTGACGGCACCGTTTATTTTCTTTCACGAACACTTTCACGAGTTTATAATTGACACGTTTATTATATTACTAGTCGTAATTCTCAGAGAATTGAGGCGAAGCTATGTAAATTTCTCGCAGGATGTCGAGAAACTTTCCTCTTCAGATACTAATTAGCAGCCAGGTTAAAATCACTCGAGGGACATATGTTGTTAACTATGTATATAATTAAGATTTCTCGGCCGATAAATAGAATTTTCTAGAGGAACAAGCGTTCGTTCACCATCCGACAGGATAGAGAAACAGTTTCAACAGCCTGAGTCAGTTTTCTAATTGACTTTTTTCTTCTCTCCTCCAGCCTCAAGAACTGAAAATCATAAGGCCCAGTCTGCGGAAACGGCCTGGTTATCGACCACCTCAAAGAAGACCAAGTTCCCTAAATCGAAGAAATGTCTATGCAGGTTGTTTTCTACAATTCTGGTCTGGCTAGACAACATTATGCAAATTCATATTCTTATGGATGTAACTAAATTTTCTGATCTTTCGTATTTACTGAAAGTTTGGAGAAGCAAAAATACAAAGTGCATAGAAGAATAATGCTTAAACAAATATATATGAATTGATTAAATATATAAATATAAAATAGTAATATATATAATTATATAACATTAATATATATAAATTAATTAAATATATTAGTATAAAATATTAAATAATATATAAATATAAAATATAATGTAATATATAAATATATAAATATAAAATATAATATAATATATAAATACATAAATGTAAAATATAATATAATATATAAATATAAAATAGAATATAATATACAAATATATATTCTATTATTAATATATAAATAAAATATAATATATAAATATATAAATATAATATATATAATTATATAACATTAATATATATAAATTAATTAAATATATTAATATAAAATATTAAATAACATATAAATATAAAATATAATGTAATATATAAATATATAAATATAAAATATTAATAATATATAAATATAATATATATATAACATTAATATATATAAATTAATTAAATATATAAATATAAAATATTAATATATTAAATATTAAATACATAAATTCGCCCAAACTTTCTGTAAATGTTCTTAAGCATCGAGAATTTTGAAGTTGCAAAGAATGATAAATACAGATTTCTGCCCAAGGCCCATTTCATTTTTATCCGTAGGAATATGATTCTGCCTACGTAAATTAACTACCGTATACGCGTAGAAATTTTCAGTTCAACGATTACATAACAAAATCAATTAATGAGAATAATTTTCGCAGATCTGTCGAGAACGCCGCTAATCCGACCACCCAGACGACCCACGGAAGTAAAACGGGATCCAACAGAGAAAGAATGTACTTTCTTCACAAAGACGGTTTGCCTCGAAGCAGCTGATTATCCACAGTATGTTTCACGTGTCACCTTCTCGTTCTTCTTTTTTCATCGTTTCGACAAGTTGCAACAATTGCGCAACCGACTCGGTGACTCGCATTTAAATTGAACTTTCTCCAAGAAACGACAAAGGGGTGTAGCGTTAATTAGAACTGCGTTTCACAATAGCAAAGACATGATAATTCACGGAGTCGTTGAAGTGGAAGGATCGTTTTTCGCTTATTCCACGCGATTCCCACACGGTTCGAATTGTTCATTGCGCAATTCGCTCGTTCGACCTCCGTGTTCTCATAACCGTAACCGTAAGCTGTCTTTTTAATGGAGAGTTATGGAATCCCAGATAGGGAAGGAAAAGTCTCGAGAGCAATTGTCTAAATTTTCGTTTCCTCGTCCCATTTCTTTTCCTCTTTTTCTTCTTTTTTTTTTTTTTTCACGCGGTTTCACTGAATTGTGAGAAAGTTGCTAGAAATGAGATTCGAGGAGGAAGAATTCTCGTTGAATTTATTGTTGCGTTTGGTATTACGTGGATTTTAATTGGGTGAAATTCTTTTTCCAGCGACGCGATTGCGAGGAGTTTGCGAAGTAACAAGGAGATGGTCACTGCTCTGTTGACCGATTACAAGTCACAGGATTTTGACGACTCTGGCGAAAGTCCTCCGCCGATTGCATTGCCTCTTGAGAACAAGTACGAGAATCGATACGAGAGCAATGAGATTAGGAGGTGAGATCGAACTTGTAAAATATTTCCCTTTGACAAAGTTTAAACTTGTTGACTGAGAAATGAAATTTGTCACTTGAACAGAACTGTTCCTTCAGTCATAGTCGGCAAATTAATTGAATTGTAACTAAAAGCAACTTGTATTTATTAATTTTCAATTTTAAATTCTACTTGTAGAAAGTTTCTGATTTAACAAAAAAAAAAAAAAAAAAAAAAAAAAAGAGACGATCGTTGGTTAATAAATTTTTCACCATGCGCCTGTTGAGTGGCAACCAGGTTCAGCAGCGGTGCTTTAGAGCAACACGCGTTATCATGACACAGGATAATTAATATCACGAATATTGAATCTATTTTGTAAAATTGTATTTTGTAAAATATTATATTAATTTGTAAATATTATATTAATTAATATAATATTTTGCTAAATATTATATTAATTTATTTTAGGAGATCCGATATGAGCTCATCGTTCGAAAATGTCGAAGAAGGTTTCACGTGTCCATCTGTTATCAAGTATGCACGGCCACAATTGGCTAGAGCCGCTTCTGGTATCTGGAAATACATAATAAACACCGGCGAGCACACGCAAACTCTACGATTAGAGAAATGCACGTAAGTAAAAGACTATTGCAATTAGTTTACATCGCGTTTTTACATAGCGTTACGTAAAATTCAGCATTCGGTCTGTTTTATAGTAGAGTAGCGGACAGAACTATGATTGTTAATAATCTGTTTTATTCTATTAGTGAAAGTAATCAACTTTCGGTGTACACACCGTGCGTTTATTCTGTTTTCTAACGATGTGATATATTTTCTTGCCATTTATTTGTCAAATTTTCTTTTATTCCTTGCTACACTTTCTTCTTGCTATTTTTACTACTTTTACCAGCCACGGTTAAGAAAAGATTTCCTGCTCGGTTTCAAAAGCAATTTCGTTCACCTCGGCCAATCGTTCCAGTGATCGGTTTTCGTAGCTGAATATCGAATTGATTCGATTAGCACTTTCCCAAGTAAAATTTATCGAAGGATCTTCGCTCGCCATAGAAATCGAAATTCGATGTTCTTGTCACAAACTACTGAACAAAAGATTCTCTTTGTCGTATCGAAGTCGGATGATCTCAAACTTGTTAAGAAACAAAAAATTGTTCCAAGTTTGTTACCATCGAAATGAACGACTGTGACGTTCAACTTCAATTACAGAAACCCGCAGGCGAGTTGTTCCTTCATATCGGAGAATTATCGATCCTCCTGCATGCAAGTGTACAATTACCACAGGCTATTAGCGTGGGACAACAAACTGGGCCTTCACATGGATATTTTCAAAGTACCATCCTGCTGTAGTTGTCACGTGCACGGTTACGCCGAGATTTTTCCACCACATCAAAAAGACCCACCGTCCCGGGTTAAGGAGTCGTTTCCTGGATCTGATTTCGCCACCACTGACCAGAAAGACGACTACGAGGACTCTCCTAAATTAAACTATTTGAATAAGTACACGTTCGACTCTTCTCTCGGTAGGTGAAAAGATAAAAAATACTTCCTTTTATAAATTTTATTTATGTATTTATTTATTTTTTTGAAGAATTTAGAGAATAGACGGGAATTGAGCGAATGTATATTTCTAAAACTTTGTAGGCTCGAGTAACAAGAAACCTATCATAGAATCTACACCAAGTAGACCACCATTCGTTCTTCCAGTGAGGACAAGATCGAAGAAGCCTTCATCTACGAGTTCGAGGCCGTTCGATAAACTGCCACAGCAACATGCACCAAATACTAGAGCACCAGGATACACTGGACCGTTATTGAAAGGTTCTAGACCGAGCAGACCCAATCGGCCACCGTATAGGAGAGAATCCATATCCCATATCGAGGAGCAAACCGCGGCTGCGAACAGTACGATTTTAAATAGGTAATTCATGTGCTTGAGTATCGCGATACAGAATATTGTCTTACGTTTTAAATTAAAGAAATTGAAATTTTTTTTGGAACTGTGTCGTATAATTGACTATATTGCATTAAATTATTGAAAACATTAGAATTTCAATTCTACGTTTGAAAATTATACGAATCGAATTGCGGATCGTAATTTTTAATTTGAATTGCATTGTTTGACTCGATGTAGTTTCTAATTCAAGTTGAAAGAGAAAAAATGTTGAACAAAGAAATTTGAAATTGCACAGATACAGCCAACCGTACGATTTGGAAATGGACGCGACGTCGAGGCTACAAAACGGCGGCTTCGACGACGAATACCAAGAACCACAGAGGCGTGTCAATTACAATTACCATCCGATTATCGATTTTTTCAGGCCGGAAGCGATGATGTTACAATCGTCGGAGGCCTCGTCGACATCCGATCAGAACAATTCCAACTCGTGGAAACCGTTGATAGCGTCATGAGCGTCGTTTCGCTTTTATCCGGAGTACCTGATTCGTTTCTTTCTTTTGCAAGGAATCGAAATTATCGAATGTTGATCGTGTTTCAATCGACCATGCAGATAGTATTATAAAGTAGATATACTATTATATATTTTGTCTTGTAGTTTCCTAGTTTATTCCATAATCGTTAGTATCCTCCAATTTCTATTCGTCCATCACTATACTTTTCAACAGAAATCATCAAGTTTCAGTAAGAATTTACAGAATCTGGTTTTTTTTGCTATATACAAAAAAAAAAGAAAAAAGATAATCGATAAAAATTTGTAGATAAATATTAAAAGGTACGTAAATAAAAATATTTAAAGTCATTGTTATTTATTTCTCGACGTGACGCTACAGTAATAAGTTAGAAAAAATACATAACAGTGTTAAGAAATAAGAATGTTTAATCCAATTTTGTTAAAAATATACTTCGTTATGTACACAATATAGTGAAATAAATTGAACAGAGGATACTAACGCAATGCTTAAAATTATGGTAGCGGATGTTTAACGCCTACGTTTAAAGTATTACAACCACAAAGTTGGGCAGGTGCAATTGCAAACACGTTACCATCAAGTAACGTAGCGCGAAGTTTTGTGTATTTATTATTCTGTACGTGTATTATTATTTATAGATTATCGTTAATATAGCGACATTAACGTAAAATATCGTTAGAGAGAGATGGATTTTTATGTTTCGCAAATAAATAATAATAGTGACTTGCAAATGAATAATGCAACAGTGATTCGATCATAACTTCTTGTTGCAGGTTCTTTACTTAACAGGAATGATATTGTATTGCACGTTACTTTTAAATAGTTTCACCTTCTTATTCCACGTTTCTCAACACTTCAGCCGTCTTACTAAACACTTCTCGTTCGTGTCGTTACTTTCTTCCTCATCGTCATGATTATTAAACCGCATAATATCAGTCATAAACATGGGTTCATTCAAAATTAAGTTTCATTCGTGTCTTCTGATTCCACAAATTGCAAGATTGTAAAAATAGTTTTCACCATTTTATGGTATATAATATAATCTTTTTATTAATGATCTATAGTCTAACCAGTAAAAATTTAAATATCATTCAAATTGAGATCATATTTAAAGCATATGATATAATAAACTGAAATCTTAAACTATTTTTACTAACAAAGTAAATGGTAGAAATTTGTTGATAAATACATAAATATATATATATATATATATTTATAATTCTATATATATCCATATATAAAATAAAAACAATAGTAAAAAATATAGAAACTAAATTAAACAATCTTTACTCACGGTATAATTCTTAATAATATGCCTTAACTCTTAATCAAGTATAATTAATCATCTATCTATCAGTATATCATCACAGTATAATTCTTAATTAATATACCTATAATTTCTAATAATATACCTACGAATTATACTTGTTAAAAATATGCGATACACTCTTTCTCATCCTTTTGTGAATCTTCCACGACAGTCCATCATCTCAACTTCCTGCCAAGTTATCCATTATAACTGCGTTAACGCGGCTTTAGTCGAGGCTGGCTATCCACAGTCAAGAGCACCGAGCGTTTTGCTTATAGCTCACTCGTCTGTAAATCGTTTGTTTCGCTTGCCAAGTTTCTGCCAAGGCAATTGCACCGGGCCTTTCCGCGTCGATCCGCGAAGCGTGTCGCTCGAGCCACAGTTTTCTCTGCATCGCTGCCTCTGGATAAAACGTTACCCGAGAGCCACTGATTCTAGAAACGGACCTGCCACGGAATCGAATATCTCGTCCTTTTTCACGGCTCACGAGTTCCAGCGAATCATCTTCCACTGGTTTCGTTGGAAAGAACGAATGTAAATGTACAGATTGAAAGATCCTTAACGAAACTATAATAAAACAGCTGTATCGTCTTGTAACGTCAAAAAATATTTCGAGTTTGAAGAATATTCTCATTTTACACGTTTACGAATATTCTCCTTGACTCCCTAGTACTGGGTAAAATGTAAATGTATTTATAGAGATTATTTTCTGCGTAGTTCTAAATATTCTTTAGTTTCCACATAGTTCTAAATATTTCAAGAGATTTGGAATCACAATTCAATTAAAACGCGAAGTATCGTAAGAAATTATTTAAAATATATTGTTAGATAATATCAATATCTAGAACAATTAAGTTTTATATCATTTAAATCTAAATCTTCTTTAATTTAATTAATAAAAATATTTCATTTCTGATTTCTTTTCTTTCTTACTGGATTTCATTATTATCGAAAACTTGGACGAAAGTCTAATTCTTTTTCAATCTTCTAAATATTCATATCTCGGGGCAAATACGCGATTTACAGTCTTCAAAGGTCAACGAACAGATATCCTTGAGTTTAACGTCTCGCGTGATGATCTGTGAGAACATTTTATTCAACAGTTCCATCGATATCCATCGTTCGATTTAATAAGCAACAAGTGAGGCTGTCTCATTAAACGAACACTGTTTCGTGATGGATAACAACGCTCTCACATTTACCGCTTTGAAATTGCAGTTATTATATCGAAACAGACGCGAAGTAACGGGAAAGATGTCTTCAACGTAACGACCTCCTAACACGACGAAACGAAACATTTTAATGCATTTCGTCTGCTAGTTGCAGAATTAAAACAGTGAACATGATTATAGAAGTTTGAAGTAAAAGAAAAAGAAATTCTTAACAGAATCCTAGAACTGCTAGAGTGATCAAAATGATCATGGTAATTTTTCATGGTTTATAATCGAACATTCTTAGAGGTTCGAGTGATTTTTCATTTCATTTATTACTCATCGATGACAAAAATTTCTTTATTTCTTGTACTCGAAATAGCCGAAATGATCAATCATTTTTCACACAATGTCACAGTATCACAATTTTGCGACGGTGTATTCTTGGAAATTATCAATATAATAAAATTTCTCAGAGAATTTGAGCGATTTTTATTTCGTTTATTGATTATTGGAAACTTTCTCTTAATACTCTCATTGAAGTTTTTAATTTAGGTAGTTCCAGCTTTAAAGGAAATTTTCCAACAAATTTTGACGTTCCTTACTCTTCAGTCTCAGCTTCGAAAGTCTACGAAAAAAAGTGAAATAAAGCAACGTCGGCGTAGAGGGAGCAAGAAGTGTCGACTTCTCTTGATATGAGGTCACTCTAATTTAGAATAAATTACCAAATCCGCAGAAAGTGGTTCAGAAGAAACGTGTCGATGTGTGCGTAATTAATGCCGAAGTGCGCGAGCCTGATCGCAGATTTCTTTACTCCCTTTCCAGTGAAACGATCCACCCGAGGGGCTCAATCGAGAGTGACAGAACCGTTCTACGCTCGGTGCTGCACGGTCCCATGAACAATGACGCTTCAGACCCTCCTGCTGCCTTTCTGATCCGTTGGAAAATATAAATTAGGCCAGGCGGGCCGCGCAGCGTGCAGTTCGATGCAAGCTTTCCATCGAAAATGATTAGAAACCTATCGATCGTAATTCGTACGCCTTACTCCTTCAGCTGAATAACTACAATTCACTGAAACATCATTCAATCAAATCGTGTGTCACTTGGTGCAGCCAATTTGCTATTTACAGTATTAAGAATCGACTAACCCGTGTTATCGAATCGAATCGATTCTAATCTGTTCACTCATCATTGATTTAAAATCGATCTTAATTTACACTCGTGGCTATGAATGGTAACTTATTTGCGTGATTAATTTGTGCAGTTTTATGCTAATTGATCTGCATCGGGACATCTAGTGAACATAGTGAACAGCAAGATTGCGTTGTTAGATGCGTTGGAAGTTTCCGATTTTTCCGACTGTGTGAGTGAAACGAGGTGGCGCAGACTGATATAAAGTAATGCTGAAGTTCTCGCTTGACATGACACTGCGGATAGACAAAAGCTGCGTGATCTGACTGTCTCATGTTTGCTCGAGTGCGATGGCAAGTTTGCAGTAGCGCGATGAATCAGGTGTTCTTGATATTGTTAATATTGGTGTCGGTTCTCGGGTCACGAGGTAAATCAGTGCTGGACTTGGAGAACAATCAAACCGCAGCGACACTGACGAACAACGTCGATACGCAGTTCAACGTTTCCAATGGCGAATCATTTGTCAAGGAATCGTCGACAATTCCGAGCAATGTTTCTCAAGAAGAGGACAGAGATCCAATTGAGTCGTCTGAAACCATCGTGTACAACAGGTTCCAGGATCCATCGAGTAGTAAACTTTCAAAAGACAATTCTGAAGAAGAATCTTCTTCTGAAGAAAAATCTTCTTCTTCTGAAGAAGAAGAAGAAGAGCCTGAAGGACCACCCGATCATGCGATTCCCTATTCAGAGCACGAAGAACCGAGAAACGTTCCGACGAAGCCAAAGTACACTGTTCCAGGTGAATGGGCCAGGCCACCGAAAGGCAAGGAAGCTCGTTTGGAATTCGTGCCAACGAAAATGTACGCGCAGGTGAGGAGAACTCACACTCTGAGGAAGCTGCCACGGAAGAAGGCGGTAGAGAACGCGGAGTCCGAGGAGGAGAGGATGAACGCGGCGAGATTGAGAGCGGTGGTGAGGAACACGAAGGTGAACACAGTGTACACTGAAGAGGGTTACGAGGATTCCGCTTACGATCACGCCGGACACGCTCGCGACGCTGATTTTCACGAAGGTTACGCTCGGAAGCTTCACGATCACTTGGATCTTAAGAAAAAGGCTGGAGACGGTGGTCGTGACGATCAGAAGGAGGAGAATGAGACGAAGAATGAAAAATACAGGAGGATTGAACCCGAGGAGTTCGACGAGTTTGACGAAGATAACGACGATTACGAAACAAGCACAGCGAGCAATAAAATTAGCGACAATGTTCTTTTCGCGAATCCAAAAATGGTCGCTGAGGAGGGAATGGAGAAGTTGCAGGACGATTTAGAGAGGGAAGCTGAAGAGATGGAGAAGGGAATCGAAATAAGCAAACTGGAGAAACTTCAGACGACCACCGACGGGGAAATTTTGGCCGAGTCAAGGGATCGTGACGGAAAGGTGGATCAAAGAAGGAAGACGAAGCGGAGGAAGCCGTGGTCGTCTCTGGGAAACGTTGAAAATACAACTGCAGTTTCCATGGACGAGAATGTGATTTCTACAGATCGTGGAATGGAAACTACGACCGTGAAAGTGAATCTGCCCGAAGGTTCCTCGGGATTGTATAAATACGAAGTCGATGACACGCAGGATCCAACGACTGTCAGTTACGGTCAACTTTTCTGGGATTATTTTAAAACGAGACAGGATCCATTAACACTGGAATCAACGACTTTGAATCAAGCTCTCGTGCAGTCGTATCTCGTTCACGAAGAAACCACGACGTCGTTTCCAACAATCGATCCTGAAACTTTCAGCCCGCAGGAGGTAACGCCTGATGGAATTTCGATGGATTCGAAATATTCGAAGAATAGTGGACAGAACAGTGAATCGCTGCCTTTGGATAGCACGGGTTTGGACGAGCTTTGGCGATCGATTAATTCCAATGAACGACTGAAAACAGAGACATACAGTGACCAAGGAATTCCATTGTCAAATTTTCAAAGCAATTTGGGCAGTAACGAACCGTTCGATCAAAACTTTGGCACTTCCCTCTTCAGTCCAGCGCCAAATTCAGCCAACAATCGAAAGCTACGTTACAAGATCACAGTTAGACACAAACCGAAAGAACCGGAGGAACCATCGAACCCAGAAATTCAGTCTTCGAATCGAGAACCATCAACGTCGAACGTCATAAGCAAGCCGAACAGGTTGACAGTCGAAAC